TTTCATTTTCTAGTAAGCTGAAGGTTGGAAAGTGTTTCTATGCCTGAACACGAGAGTTCTACAATCCATTGCTGAATACTCGCATGACCTTTATGTAATGTTTTTTAGGTTTCTTAAAAGCAGAAAACTGAAGGATAATCATTACTTTTGAATATACTGCGAAACTAGCTTGAAACACATTCACTCATAAAAAGCTCAATAATAGTAGCAACATAAAAGTGTCAACAGGTTCGTCCCTATGGACCGTTTAGAAGGCGACATCTCTAGTGATAAGCTGGACTTCACACTGTGTATAAGTTTTGAGGGAAACGAGAAACCCGGCTAAAAGACTACACTCCATGTTCGCCTGTGTCAGCTGATCTTGTAAAGGTAATAAAGTCATATTAAGAGTACCGGTAATGCCTCCATTTTCCCTTTATCGCACCAGGGTCGTTGCTTTTAAGGTAGGAATAAGAAGTACAACACATTGCATAAAAAGTCATTATTTGTGAGAAAGTAAGCACAAATAATGTTTCTGGATGAGAACGTGCGATTTGTTCAACACCCAAGAGAGTGATCCATCCATCTGCAATGAGATGAAATTAATGGGCAAGAGACATGAGCAGACGCGGACAGACTCACTACCTCATAAATGCAATGGAGTATATCTATTATATATTCTGTTTTGGAGGAAAAATTTTGAAATTCAGGGAAAGTATCGCAATGCAAGGACATTTTTGTTTGCCTTCAAAATCCCTTTGAATGGGATTGGCAAACTGCACTCTCCAAAACAGTGAAAATCACTGCATTCAGCGATGGGAATTGAAAGAAAAGGACGATAATAACGATCTGTACTGAAGACGTATACTCGCTAGCTCTAGTAGCTTCCAGTGAATATGTAATGATTCAACCCAAAGTAAGGCATGATTGGATTGGCTAACACAAAAAAGTGGCCTCTATACGTCGTTTTTCGTACTGTAATAGAACTAACTGTCTGACTAAATATGCCTAGCCTCAAATTTCTGGATTCCTCGTCGGCGTAATCTCATCCATGAAATCTATTTGTCTGTTCATATCATAAGAGTTCTACGGTCATGAACACATCACTCTCAGTTTAGTGCTCCTGAGTGATGCTTACTGGACGGACCAAAAGGAAGAGTACTCAACTTACGTTTGAGTTTGTCCAACTCCAATGAAAGAACGGAAATCACAGTCGAAGCCCGAGGCCATGGAGACTGGAAGCAATTACAGCGCCTACTGGCAATCAGATTAATTCCTTGTTCCACATTTTCGCTCAACAAAACCAAGATCTAATATTGCTGCCATGCGAATGAAAAGTTAGAATGATGAGAGATATAGTTTTAGAAGTTAGAACAAGTAAGTGGCGATATCGAGGAAGTAATGAAGAAGACGAAGCACGTTCGGCGTGCGTTCACCTCTTCGACTCTGTGGTTACATTTCCGTTACTTACGCCCACAATAGCAAAATGAATGTGCAGTCAGTATTTTGGAAGACACAACTGAGAGGACGGTGAAAAAGCATCCATTTTTTCTTCAGTGGGTGAGGGAATCTCGAGTCCAATCGAAGTTTATGAAACGCTGTTCTATCCCTAATACAAAAGACCTCATATTTTTATAAAAACTAAATCAGTACCCATTTTCTTCAGGTCAATGCTGGTGAAATTGTCCTTTCATTGCTGCCAAACTGATTTAATGGATCATTTTACTAAGTTATTGCAGTTTTGAAGCTTGAAACAAAGTTGGTTTTAGTGTATTTATTATTTATATTTCGTTCCATATGAACAATCGTCACTTCACTTTCTCGGATTTCGGTACTTCTTCGTTTTGCTCACATTCTTCGTCCACGAAAGTTCTCGAACATTTCGCGTGTTGTGTGTTTCCGCTGCCACTTGAGGAGTTCGTCTTTCTTATAAATGTCGTAGAATGTTGGTCGAGACAATTCTTGCAATTTTGCAGAGGGCTGAGTTAAGGAGTCTCAGCGTGGATTCTAAGAGAGTGGAAGGGCTCTGATGTAGCAACTATTATCTTGCTGCATAAGAGGGGTTACAGCGCAGTGGCATTTGTGCTGTTCATCAGGAGTGCGGTGCTGATTCGAATATGCACCGGGCTCACGAAGCCACTCACTCATCCCTTCCAACAAATTGTTACCAGATTTGCCTAGGCCCAACTTACTCTCCAAATAGAGGCAGAAACACTCTAACCTATTCCAGGATTCGAGAGAGAATTCATTCGAACGGCCGTCCTTCAGCGACATTCACAAAGATGGCAACTATCCTCAAGCTGCATCTAAATCCACACCTAGAAAGTTAGAAGACCTTCGCGAATGATGATACCAAACGAATGGAAGAAGTGCTGGGATCCGCACAGTAGACGTGGAGACAGTTCATGTAAAAAGGAAACAAATCTTCTTGTATTGATAAGCTAATATAAGGTTCATAAAAGCTTTTTCTAAGGACCCATTCACAGCTGTTATGATTTGAAATGAATGTCAACAGAAATCTTTTTTTCTTGCGATGTGCATTTTCGTAGTTGCATAGTTGCATCCAATCCAGCTGAGTGGAACCATTTCTCGCCAAAACGTGAGAAAAGGATTACACTAAGGCCACTCTCACCCTGGCTCCCAGATGGAGTGTAACCTATTGCTCAGCTTTGAAGGATGGCTACGACGAATAGAAGGCCTCGTCCGTGGTACTCGATGATTAGTGGGGTAGAGGGTATAGGTGATGATTTCCAGATGGCTTTCATGTTGACAAAAATTATAACAGAACACCTAACTAAACTATTCTTTATAGTACCGTTGAGCAAACACGAAGTGTTATTTTATTCTTTATTCACGAACACGCCTCTCAACGGTTTACCGCCCCATCGTGGTTGGGAGGTGTTCTTGGGTGTCGAGCTGCGATGTAAAACGGGGAGATTCATCCCCCAGCAGGGTCTCCTAGGCTGAGAAGGAATCCGGCACTTCCATCATAAAGCTCACCTAAGAGTAAGCGAATATCGGGGTCCGTCCATCAACGTCCTAGTGTCAAATTTGTCGCTTGGTGGGAAATCTCCCTCTGATCTACGAAGGCGGTGACTAGCTGTGGTGGTGACGATCATGGGCAGACTTTGGCTTGAATGACCTCCGCACTTTAGGGAACTACTATGTCTAAACCATCAAAGCTCCGAAAAGATGAAGATTATGCTGAGGTCCGCACAACCAGTGAGGACGGGCCGTCTAAGTGTCCAAGTAAGTAGGTATTCACGAGCAAGCTGAGGTTTCGACGAATTTCGTCTTTCACAGAGTTTGGAAAGGTCAAGTTGACAGCAATCTAGCCAGCCAAACAGATGGTTGAGTAGACTGTTTGGCTGGGTAGACTGCGGTCAACTTGACTTTTCCAGGCTCTGAGGAAGGTGAAATCCGTCGAAAGGTCAGCTTGCTCGTGAATAAAGAACATAATAACACCTCATGTTTGCTCAACAAGAATATAAAGAATTGTTCGACTAATGCCGAGATTAATAGAAATAGTTCATGGGAATTAACTAAACAACTTTCTCAAGTTTGAGGCCTACGGTGTTGCACTTGAAGCAAACACTTTGTCTGTACGGTCTACTACCACTGTTGTGTGACTTACTTTTTATGCTTCTGTGTGGAGAATAAATATCGTGGCTCACTACCAATACTAATTGACTCGTGCGGTCCTTCAGTGGATTCGATTCTATGCAAATACCAAAACTCACGTCGGAGAAAAGAAAAAGTGCTGTGGACATTCGACTCGAATCAATTCGGCTCTGAGGGAGGTGAAGGACCCGAAACGTTAGCTGCAACAAGGTTTTTGGACAACCTCGTATTGGCTTAGCAATATAGCGGGATATTGTTTATTCATATCGAGATTGGATGAAAGGTTAATCTCTTAAAGTAACTGTTACTGTTGCGGAAGTAACGAGAAGAGGAAAAAATTTTAAACTTCATGTAGTGATGATTTAAATCAAATGTAGATCTTGGAGAACAGAAAAGTTGCTTACTTGAATTTTGCTTGTAGTAGTTCCCTGCCTAGTATACCACTATAGAATGTATCTTGCATGGTGCTAAAAGCTTTGGCTAAGTTATCAACGCATTCTTTACTTTGACGACGGTAGTTCGCTTCCATGTTCACAAAAAAATCTGAAAAAAAGCAACGGCACTTCAGTACCTTCTTCAAAACACGAAGTTGATAAGAAAAAGATCTGTTCGGTTAAGGTTGCTATACTTTCATCTTCATCAGAGCCCGGCTGACTCGATGGACTACAGGTTCTCATCATCCCGATGGTTGTTCGTTGTCGCATCGAATCGAATCCAGTCAGGTGCAGCACCGATCCAATGAAGCTTCCTCACTCGACGGAGCCTTCTTACAGAGGGCGGATGTGGACCTATTGCCGCTATTCGACATGATCTGCACTTTTTTATCAACCTAATGTTAGCTTAATATTCGAAGAAAACGTCGATTAGTTTTACCGAACTTTAATGGAATTCGGTTCTAAGATGTAATAGCACTTCATTTTTAGCACGTCATAGGAATGAAACTTCCTTGATACACAGGCTTTTAGTTCACGGGTTCAACCGTAACTAGCAATCGAACTGATAATTTATTTATTACTAGATATCAAGTCCTCTTCTTGCCATTCGATGACTGCAGGCCTGCTTGCAAAAGAAAGAAAGTGATTTAAGCCTTCAAAACGGTCGGCTGCGCCTTAACTTAAGAACTTGCCACACATATTGCTCAAATGTTCGCCTACTTCCACGCCTCGGTAAATTCAAATGATTGGCGTGGACGATGTTCATGCACCTCTATTCAACCGGTCGCTCCTACTTATCGGCTTAGTGATTAACGGGAACCAAAACTAGGCATGAATATTAATTCCTGCTTATGAAATGTTCGCCATAACAGATATCTAAACATTTCCTATCAGAAACTGCTTTTATAAGAAAATTGAATTCGTAGCTATATTATAAAAATCTCTAGGCATATCGATTATGGGACATTATGGGAATAAACACTGACCGTAGTAATCGACCAGCACGTTCACAGCGGAAGATGTGGACACGGCTCCGATGCTTGTTTCCGGATACGTTTCACGATAGAAAGCCGATAAAGCTCCTGCATAAGAGATGAACACTTTAAAGCTCCAAGAAAACAGGAAAGCAATAAGGTGAACAAGGAAAGAATATTGGAGTGGGTTGGAAGGGTAATGACAGAAGAATTCGAGAACTAAATTATTCAATAAATAGGCCATTGAGGCGAGACTGTGCACGGAGGAAAAATAAGCAGCGTTGTCTGTTTTTAATAATTGGCTTCAAAATATCTCTCCTAATGTTTGAAAGGGCAGTTAACCTGAATAAGATCCACCGAATGTGACCCAGTAGGTCTTCGTCCCATTGAAATACTTTGCGTTCATTTGCCGGATGAATTCTCGAATATCTTCAATAACTTGGTCGATTGTTAAAAGCTTTAGGTCCAAGGTAGTTTGCGTCCTAAAATTTCCGAAATTGGAATTTAACCAGAGAGTTTTATCTTAAACGATAAAATTGTGAGGTTTTCTTTCGTAAAGCACAAAAAGAGGGAAAAACAATGCGAAGGCCTCGGTGGTGCAGTGGGTAGCATTTGAGTCCCGGAAAGAATAACTGCGGGTTCGAATCCGGGCTAGAGTGCGAGTTTTGCAAATATCTTAGCATTGTTGTAGTTGTATTCTCCACAAAAAAAATAAAAAGACGAAGCCCTCTGTGATCAATCCCTGAGGGATGCGCCATGAATCCGACTTCATTAAGCACCGTTGGAGGTGATTGAATGCATATCTGGCCCTCGTGGTGGCCTACCGATGTACCGAGCCACTGTCGCTATCCTCCTAGACAAGTCTGATATCAATTTGCCGAACCCGGAGGGACGGAAGGCTTGGTGAGCCACGGCGCGGGGATCGATCTTATGAGTATTGCAACGTGCCCCAGCCACTAGGCTACACGCGCCTTTATATTTCACATAATAGGAAAAAAATAATAGCTAGTCAGTAAGAAGTCGTACACTATGGGGTTTTTGGTTTTTTTTTCTTTAATTTTTACACGGATAAATCAATCTCCGCTTTACCATATCTTAAAAGTAATTCGTTACACAACTTTTTTTAAAAGTAAATCGTAGAACGGCATAAAATGCTTGATCCATTAATGCGCCATTCTAGAGAGCGAGAGCACTTCAACCGTGTGCCGAGCTCTGATCTTCTCCCATCGAAATTTGTGGTACTGATGATGAAAAGTACTTTTCAATGTGGGTTAGACCTTGGTAGTCGTTTTAAGTTGTGTATTTTTCTCAACATCGACAATGCTACACACTAAGTTCTTGGTTTACTCAGGTTCTGCATCGCTTTTCGTTTAGTCTTTTTCAGGTTTTCTGACTTCTCTAGACTACTGCATGATTGATTGTTTACGAATGGCTGTCCTTGCCTAGGGATGTAACGGTGTTGAGGGCCGTGTTTTCGTCACACTTGATGTTCTCAACTCCCATCATCGGATGTTAATCGGGTGCCCTTCCTATGTTGGTGCGTCCAACTCATTACCACCGTAGATTTTCAACGCCTGGGCAGCTTAAATGGCTCAAAAGCTCTGACATACTCTTCGTACTCAACTTATGATCTACTTCGTACTACTATAGTGTATATGGAGCTCTTTTTATTAAATGGAAAGAAAATACTGTCTTCCTACCATTTTTGGGAGCAGATTATCGTTAATAATTCACGAAGTTCTGCTGTAGGACTGTGTGCATCTTGTCTTGCTCTTCTTAATAACGTAGAAGCTTGTTTTGAATGCTCGGGACCAACTCTTCTACTCTGCACTTCCAATAAATTTACTATGGAGGCTTTCTCTGAATCCACTTGCAGTATACAATCCACATAGACAGGGGTAGACTAACAGATTTATGCAAAAATTCTACGCATATTGCGCACATGCTGATCACAAAACTCAGTATAGCACAATAGAAATGGGAGTGCAAGTTCCTGATCTACCTGCTTTTAGGGCAATTCTGAAACCATGGACTTCTCGGGATGTCAAGTACGCAGTAGAAAGACCACCGCCCTAATGGTCAAAGTTCTTCACGAAGGTCCTTGAAGGAACACATAATGCTCAACGAGTCCCTAGAGCAAGCGGAAGTCACTACGCCACTCTTGCACGTGACAGGGAGAAATTAAAGATTTACTGGTGCACGCTCGAGTCACATGACGATCAACGGGACAGAAGCTGGTACAGATGATATGGAACCACTTTTTCGTCATCCACTCCTCAGCTGTTACTACGCTACCATCCAATCAATTGCGGATTCCTCATTGACAGAAATTCACCACGGGAAATGTACCTTTCCTATGACATAATATAAGCAAACGGCTTAAATCTCTAGTCATGAAAGCGAATCATGCTTTTATTTAATTATTTTGCTTAACACTTACTTCATAGGACTGTATTCAGCTGGTCCGTAGTGGCGATGCTCAAGTTGAAATGCGGCAGCCCCATAAATCTTAGCATATTTCATCATCATGACGTTCTCGTTTCGAACCCACTTGTCGCCCGGAGGCGATATCGATCCTGATAGTGATCCGAGTAAATTTATACTAAGTGAGAAGTACCTCGACATAGATACAGCGACATACGTTCTCCTCCAATCATTAAGAAGACATTTCCGCTACGCTTGTTGTAGAACTTTGAGTTGTACTGATATCTCTGCAAAAACCAACTTTGCTAATCCTTTAGAATACTCTCTCTTAATAAGCGCTAAATTTCCATTCCATGTTATTAATTGCCGACCAACGAATCCTTACGTTACATTGGTTATGCCAGTATGTATTGACTGAAACGCAATGGTATTCATTATTTCTAGAAGTTGTACACGCGCTCAAAGGACTCTATATCGAGTTTAAGACAATACTGTTTATCGAGGCAATAACAACACAGATGTTGCTCGGACTGCTATCACATAGTTTGTACCTGTTTCCAAAATGCTGTAGTGTTGCTGAAATGATCAACGACTTGTCGAATATGAGAATAGACCATGTATTCGCTCTCCGACTGAGTTTCATCGTCATCACGGAGCTGAACGACACGGATGTTTCAGGTGGCAATGAGGTGAGAGCCCTTATACAGAAACTGCATCGACACTTTTTGGTAACGATAAACCTTTGTGAACTGCATTTTGTCACCAAGAAGCCTCAGTTTTTAACAGTATCACATCATTGCTTTACTTAAATTTTCTCTATGACATTAGTGAAAAACGGGTAACCAAGGAGGTAGAGTTACTTCACTCGATAAAGGGGAAATCTTCAATTTGTGAATAGTAAACAATTCGAGAGTTCTACTGAAACTAGCAACATACCTGGGTAAATCCACCATGAGGTCTACCCAACATTATGAGAATAGGGGAATAGGCCGAAGTAAGTGAAATAGTCGAACTGGTGATCAATAAAACCAATAAGTATGGCATTATGAGAAAGTACGAGAGAATTCCCACATAAAATGCACGGATGAAGACGCTAGAGGTGAAACGACACCGTTTAGAGACGATTTACTGATAAGGAATGCACGATCGAGTACAAGCAGCTGCATGTGACAGCTGAAACAGCAACGAGTGAAAAACTTGCAAAATGCGAAGGTGTTAAGGCCACATTTCTTGCCTGCTTTTTATATTGTCCTGTTCTTTAGTCCTCAAGGTATATTTTCCTTTTAAACTATGTTTCACTTTCACTTTATTCTCCAGTGACAAATAGCTTGATTGTCTCCGGCGTTTCATGCACTTTAGTGCCGAGGTACAGAGAGAGAGATTCATCTTCAATACTCTCTAACTTCAATCCAGTACTCTTTTTATTATAAAACTTATGCCATGTTAAATTAGGTGTGCTACACATGATTATCTTCTCGGGAAAAAGGTTAAGAAGTGCATCATACCAAAACTCCACAGCCCATGTGGTGTCCCTAGACGAGGGGGAACCTATCAAGCAACTTTCATTAGCAAAGAATACAAAGATACTGGTGCTCGTTGGAGGTACTGATCAATGGGATTGTAGGCAGTGATTTCCAGCATCAACAAAATTTATGACAGTGAGCTCAACTACATGCTGAAATATGATGTTGCGGTTACATTACCAAGTTGATTTCGTGTTCAACTTCGTTGTTATTCTGTTGCAATCGAAGCAAACACCTCGTCTATGTGGTTCGTAACGCTAGTATCTTACAAATGACTGTAATGCAAGCTAAGCAGTTATTCTGAACGATAGCCTCTACTTCTTCTAGTACCACATGGACAGGTGTGATAACATGTCTTCTTTTACTGATAAGCTTGACTCATGAGGTGCTCCAATTCTGCATTCCAGTTGATGCGAAGAGAATGACTCCCATTGCAAAAATGAACGGCCGTGGACATTTGACTCGAACTATTGCAGCTAAGAGAAAGATGGAGACGCCAAAATGTTAGCCAATGAAAGCGCCACAATCTGTTGTAAGCTTGGCAACAGAACAAACTGCTCAGCACTCAAGCCAAGGTTAAATAAATGTTAGTATTGAAAATGTGATAAGAAATATTCACGGATAGAATATTCGTCGAAAAACATGTTAGATAAATTGTCATTGGGAATGTTGAATTTGTTTAAGTCGTTCAATTTTTTTATACTAAAGTTAGATATCCCATTTGAGTATGTAAGGTGTGCTGTGGAATGTTGGCATGCAGAAACTGTAGAGACACAAAAACCATCGCCATTTGAGAGCACCCGCTCAGCAACAGCACTTCAACGACCGCTGAAATGATCAAGTACATCTAGTATGACGTACCGAGTAAGTGCAACTATTGCGAATTTCAAACAAGAATACTAGGTTTTCGTCCGTAGAAACACTGAACTATCACTGTTAAATGCAATGATCCCTTATGGTTATCAGATGATAACGCGTAACTGCTACACCGTCATCAGTGGTTGACTAAGTAAATCCCTCTCGTGTTTAAACCAGTTACGAGTTGGGTGAAAAACTATCTCATAACAACAATGATGCTGAGATATTTGCAAAATTCCGGATTGCAGGTGCCTGTGGTGAGGATCGAAAACGCTATTGCACCCTCCAACGGCTAACGCGTTCATCACCGCACCATGTATTTTCTTCGTTTTGCCCATCCCTCATCCGCATTTTATAAGTGCTATCGGCAATCACCAGTAAACGGAATTGGTCTGAGGAGCACACACTAGAAAACACTATGAAACATTGCTGCGAGAGAAGCGAAACGAAGGACCTAAGGACCTGCATGGTGTGGTGGCGAATGCGTTAGCCCCGGAAAAGGTAAAAGCGTGTTCGATCCCTACTGCAGACACCTGCCGTCCGGAGTTTTGCAAATATCTCAACATTATCGCTGTTTCATCTCACATTATATCCTACAAATGAAAAAAGACTAGGTAGTTTATAAAAAAGTTGTTAGATTGTCCTATAATAACAGTGCAATAAAGAATCTCCTGGCAACGGGGGGTGATCGTAGAGCACAAATCGGCATTGACCGTGCTTAAGCTGATACTATAGTCGAAATCACAAATGCTTAACTTTTTATGTACTACCTATTGTTTTTCACGGCAGGGCATTTTGTGAAATACAATCACTGATGCTGAGTTATTTCCGAAGTTCGGACCGATGGACAGATGCGAACTTGCGATTATCCTTTTCGGGGCTCACGTGCTACCAACTGGATCGCTGAGGTCTTCGTTTTGGCTTTCTTTCAGCTTATTTTCCACCTTAACGACACCATAAGGGGTAACCGCGAGATCAGATCGGGCGTGGACATAAAACCCTAGCGTTTTCGATCCTCACCACGGACACCTGCAAATCCAGGTTTTGCAAATATCTCAGCGTCATAGCGGTTGTATTGAAGAACCATTGAAATTATTGAACTATCGAATTAAACAATCAAGCAGTCACTCAAGTTTGAGGCATGATGGATATTTTCGTTCTATCGACACTAGCTCAGTTGTAGATCAAGGAAGTACTGCCATGCCAAGTCATGCCGCTCCCAAATCTTCGAATCTACTTAGAGGTCGAGTTACGACTATTTACGAAGAAACCTCTGTCACAGGACGGTCAGAACAGAGTCGAATTATTTAAACTAGAAGAAGAACACTTCTCGGAGATCTTCGAAAATGCCAAGAAACTTGGAATGGCAATGTATCGAAAAATGTTCTCATCGCAGTAGTTAGTTATGTCTGTTAGCAGCATCTTCGCACCCGTTATACTCCGAAGTGACTTCGTTCCTTGGTCATCTAAAAAAAACTATTTGCAGTACTTAACCCTTTTTATTTACTGCCTTTTTCTTCTTAATGGCAGGGTATGTTGCGAAATATAACTCATATGAAATGCTGAGACATTTGCAAAACTCCGGACCACAGGTGTATGCAGTGGGGAACGAACACACTATTGTCCTTATCGGGGAGCAGCGCATAACGATCTCTAGATTTTAATGACCTCTACTTCAATGAATATAATCCAATAGAGATGAAAGTGGGCACGCATAGCAAAATAATTAAAGCTGGCTTGGAATATAAACTTGGTCGTTGGTTCCATCACGCTCATGTGTTCACCAATGGCTCTGAATGTGTTAATAATATGGCAAAGCGTCTTTTCAGAAAAAATTCACTTTAGAAAACAAAGAAAATGCCGAGGTTAATAGAAGTCGGTCGTGGCAGTTACAAAGGAAATAAGTTTGGAAAAGTAGGCAGAGGGTAGGATGTTCACACTAATTTGATGTTCATTAAAACAGGTATTGATGGGTAAAACAGGTATCTGAAGAAGATGTCGAAAAATTAGCCCAATAAACTTATTCTTTAGCTGATGCGACGTTGGTATAGGTCTTCATTGTCGTTGTCGTTGTTGTTGTTGCTGTTGTTCTTGTTAGTCGATGGCTGACGTTTCGGCAATTTCGCCTTCCTCAGAGCCTGGACGTATTCGTGATGTTACGAGTGCGACTGGCCAGTCGCCGAAACGCCAGCCATCGACCAACAAGAACAATAAGTGACTACAACAACAATGACAATAACAACGAAGACCTATACCAACCTCGCATCAGCTAAAGATCAATTTATAAGATGATATAAATAAATATATCATCTATGCCGAGGTTAATAGAAAGTCGGTCTTTCAAGTTGTTAGCCGAATAAACTTTTTTTTATAACAACCTTGCACCAGCTCAATAGTTTAGAACAGTATCGACCACTCTTACCAAGGTATAATGAAAGTTGGTTTTTAAGAGAATCTTTATTGTAAGGTGGAGGAGGTGCACGAAATTTTGTTTCTTCCGCATTCCTCGGAATATTCTGTGCACCTCCTCCAGCTTACAAAGATGATCAGCACGCACTTTATAACCGTCTACATCTTGATCGGTTTGCTAGCCAATCCCTATAGTGTTTATCCTCTTCACCACGAATTGTTATTGATGGAGTGTTGTTGTGTTCAATCACGTTTTACACGCTCAATTTGTGGAGAGGGATTTTATGCAAAACATTTAGGGGTGGTCAGCTATTGAGATAGGAGCTAGTGACGAGAATAATTAGATGTCTATCGCTGGGCGCATTGAAATGTTGATTTGTTATGCTGAAAAATGAAGTTGTATCAGTACCTGTAAGGTAGGGTTAGCGTACGATTCGTCTATTTCTACTGACGCTGGCCATGTGAGAATACTAGAATAAGACGTAGGCGCTATTCGTAGAAGTCCGCCATGTTATAGGAGGGACTTGTAAGGTTGCACTGCATCATCGACTTGCTGGGATAAATTTGAAGAATAGTTGTTAAGTGAGCCATTATATGAGGAGTAACGACCTAGAAGAATGCTGAGGAATGAAACGGTCACTCGAGTGAAGTTGGCAGTATGAAAAGCTGGTAACTGCTTCAATTTTCTCGCCAGCGCCAAGCGAGCTTTGTTGTGTCGCTTGTCTCCACAAAATGTACTTAAACCATAGTAAACTTAGTATATAAACCCTTCTATACATATAAACAATAACGCGATAACAGAATAAACTCAGATATATTATGAGGAGTAGTGAGTAACGTTGACAGTAAACGT